GATTCCCCCTCCTTCCCCGGCAGAGCATCTGGTGGATTCGAACCGTGCACCTCTGGGATTGTAGTTGCAGCTTCTTGCCACTAGGCCACCAGAGCTCCCTGGACACCACTCTTAAACTCACCTGTGGCTGTGGCTTTTGAAGCACTGAGTCTGGTGGAGTAAAGTGATCCAGTTCATATTGATAAGGATGTGCAAACCTGAAGAAATAAACAAAAACAAAAATCCCTTTGATTAATTCTATCATTCTAAGGAAAATGAAACTGACTGATTCAATTTATAAAAAGAAAGAAAAACAATGACTGTGAAATTATTTCCATAAAGAATGTAATTATTTCAATAATTCAAGTGCATTAAATAAATTAGGTGATTACTTACTAAACCCTAATGTATGATAATCAGAAATTTACTTATAAACTCAAGTTACTGCCCATAAATCGATTCTTCCTCAAAGAGACTCTCCATTAGGTTTCTGAGGCTCTGCAATGCAATGGGAGGGACTGCCCATCTTCTTCCTCCGAGTTGCTGGTGGGTTTGAACCTCCAGAGCTAAGCAGTTTTTCAGTGAGCGGTACAACTCACTATGTAACTACACTGCTAATCAAAGGTTCGAATCCACCACCCACTCCTTGGGAGAAAGATGAAACAGTCTGCCTTGGTAAAGACTTATACTACGAGTCAGAATCGACTGGATGGTAGTGAGTGAGAAAACCAACACTCATAAATATCTGAGCAGTTATTCATGTGACACTGCATAGTGATGTGGACTATCTAAAATGAAAAACATAGTTTCTAATGTTGTTATCAGGTGCCGTCAAGATTCCAAGGCACCCTGTGAATTACAGACCTGGCGGTATCCTGCAATGTTCTCGTCTCTGCCATGCCCAAGCCCACTGTGGTAGTCCCTGCACCAATCCTTTTCACTGAGACTCTTCCTCTTTCCCCAACCCTCTACTTTTCCCAGCATGATGTCCCTCTCCAAGGACTGGCTTTTCATGAAAATATGCCCAAAGTGAGTGACATGAAGTTTCACCATCATTGCCTCTAAGGAGTACTCTGGCTATGTTTCCTTCAAGATAGATTTGTCTGTTCTTTTTTAATAGTTCATGCTATATTCAATACTCTTCTCCAACACCACAATTCAAAGGCATAGATTCTTCCAAAGAATGGTCCCTCCCAACAATGTGCTCAAAGCTTCACCATGTTCGCCTCGAAGGAGCCTGGGGCTGAACATTCTCCAAGACATATCTCTGTGCTTTTTTGGCAATCCACAGGATATTCAGTACTCTTCTCCAACACCACAGCTCAATTCCTCTTCGGTCATCCTCTCAGATGCACAACAACATAGTCAACACAGTCAATAGATATAGAGAAAAGATAGAACCCCTACCCTAATACTTTAAATAACAGACCTATGAAGTAAGAGAGGCTGAGGCAAGGATTTCAGCTGTTCCGGTATCAAATATGAAACTGTTTTGTTCTTTATCACATACTTGAACAAATATTCTAAGTCTAGGAGTTCCTTGATGGCAAATTCCTTTTCTGCCTTTTTTTTTCTTGCCTTTTTCTCTAGCACTCAGTTGTGGCCTCACAGTGCATAGCTGTTCTTAAAGGAATAAATGCTTGGACAGATTCGGGCTAAACTGGGGAGATAGTGACGAATCCTAACGACATCAGTCTGGAGACCAAGGTCCAGGCTATAGTCTTCTAGTATTCACAATTGCTTGTTATATGTGTCAGAGAGCTAGACAATGACTAGGGATGACAGAAAGGGAACTGGTGCCTTTGAGCTGTGGTGCTGGAGAAGAGTGTTGAATATATGATGGACTACAAGGAAAACAAACAGGTTCATCCTAGAGAGGGTGAAACTGGGCTCCTCCATGGAGGCAAGGATTCTGAAGCTCCGTCTGACATACTTTGGACATATTACAAGAAGGAACCAGTCCTTGGAGAAGGACATCATGTTTGGGAGGGTGGAGGGACAGCCCAAGAGAGGAAGACCCTTGATGAGATGAATCGATTCAGTAACTGGGGTAACGGGGGTAGGTGTGTCGGAGACAAGGATAGAGCAGGCTTTAGGGCTGTTGTACTTAGGGTCGCTATTGAGCTGCAAGTGACTCGACAGCACGTAACAGCAATAATAGCAACAACAAAGGTTTTATCCTTTCATTTATTTCTTTTTTAAAATTACTGAGGATCAAGTCCTGTCACTTATCAAAAGTAGTGTTTTCCTTTGGGAATTTTTTTAAAAAGTAAATTGATCTAATTTGAGTGAAAGCTGACAAATCACACTGGGTTTTCATTCACTCATATATATAGCAAAATTTGTTCAAACTGCTTATTGCACCAGTGAAAAAGGCCTTGACTTTATTAGCTCATTAGTCTTGCCCACCTAACAGAAATGCAAAGAAGAAAGACAGTTTTAAGACAACTTCGGCAAAGTAGCATAATGCCAAGTATTCAGAGCAGAAAGCCCAGACCCAGCTGCGCACTCACATGTCCTGCTCCACCTGCTGGGTTCTCTGCTGATGGATGAAATCTGCCAGGGCAGGTGGGACGTCCAAGTCCTCGGGACGATCCCGGGGTCGCTCCCGCCTTTCTTTAGAAAGTGCTGGATACCCAAAGAGTAACAAAAACACCATCACGAAAGACATAACACATGCAACGCACGTGACCGGGGGAAACATTTAAAAACCAACCAAATAAACAAAGAACTTACGTTACTTAAACACATTCACATTTTTTTCTACTAATGTCCTTTAAGAAAAGGCAGGCAGGAGAGAAGCCTTTTCCCTTTACTTATTTTTGCACCGGATGGGAGGCACTCAAATGTACATAGAGATCACATTGCTTACCCGGGGCTAGGGGTTTCTGAGCATTGGGCTTGATGAAGATTTTGGGAAGAAAGGGTGTGTTGGAGTTGTCGATCTTCTCTCGAAACTTCAGCTGAGGTCGCACGATGTTTTTAGCATGAAGGAGTCGGAAAGTTTCAGATTTTGTTTTCTTGCTGTATTCTCCTGCCTGTGATCATAGAAGACAAATGTTTTATAACACAGTAACTCACTGAATTAGAAAAGTAATTCCAAATTCATGTGACTGGCTTTCCAGGAAGAGAGATACAGGTAAGGATGAATGTGGAAGTCCTTTTAAGGCCAAAAATAGCAAAGTGGAGAAGAGAGGAGAGTGTTACTTATAAGGACAACTTTATGAGAATGAGTTAAAGATGGTAGTGTTCTTGTGCCCAACAAATTAAAGCAGAAATGCAAACGAGAATGGGCAAAACTCTATTACAATGGTAACATTTGGTCCTGTTGTGAATCTGATGTAAAGCCCTCACCTTCCGGTTCCAGCTGGACACGATTGTTTTGGGCACCTGCAGTCCTGCAGGGAGGACAGGCTGTTGATTCTTGTTCACACCTGAGGCCTCATCCAGTAAGATGCCCTATGAGTAGAAAAGGATGAGATGAAGTCTCCTCAGAGGCAGTGCGGCTGGCGCAGGATAGAGCAGGGTTTACGGCTATTGTGCACAGGGTCGCTATGAGTCGCAAACGACTTTACGGCACATAACAACAACAACATACTGAAAAAATTTTCTCTGAAAGAGAAAAGGTTATATATATATATAATCTTTTCTCTTTCAGAAAATTTTATATATATATATGTAATTATATATATATATATATAAAATTCTTTATATATATATAAAGAATGTTTGGTGATAATGAATGATGGGTAATGAAGGAACAATGTCAAGTAATCAGTGCATTAATTATTTGCTCAAAGACATGACAGTAGTCAACCATTCTTAAACTATGATTTACTCTCTTTATAGCTTTGAATTGAGGTGACAATGTAAATGCTTTAAGTGCCACGTGGGAAGGAAAAAGCTGAAGATTCTAGACTACAGAGTAAATAGAAATGTACTGTTAAAATGAGGATGATGGTGGCCTGGACCTGCTCTATGCTGTCAAAGTGGGATTGAAACAATAGCATAGCCAGCCAACAACTGACAGCATGACAGAACTTGAAGTCACATAATACAACAAAGTAATGAAAGATTTGTGGGCATTCATACTGGAAGCAGATTTATGGACAGGAAAAAACCCAAAGCCTACTGTCATGGAGTGATTTCTGGTCAATGGCAACCCTCTACCAAGGTTTTAAGATTGTAAAACTTTCTGAGAGGAAAATGTCACATCTTTTTCCTGTGGAGGAACTGGTGGATTCAAACAGCTGATCTTTAGGTTAGTAAAGAAACACTTTAACTACTCTACCATTTGTAGCTCCTTAGGAATTAGAAAGCAGAGTTCAAGGACAGCAAAATTAAGTATTTCCAGGACCATCACCTAGTTGAAGTTTAGATCTGTTCTGGATGATTCAATCTTTCTGCAAATAATGTTCTGCTTTAGAATCAGGCATTAAGAGATAAGAAACTAGACCAAATGAGTCACATTTCCTCCCAGTAGTGAGAATCAGAATGCGGAACAGGTTTTGGATAGTGAAAATGAACTAACACTAAGCTGGACTAATACCGAGTCCTCTTTTCTGTAATACAAATAGGTTTTGTAAATCTAGGGTAGAATTATAATAAAATACTTTAAAAATAGGCTCCATCTACAACCAAGAGAAAACAAAATACTTGAATGGGACCCTGTGCACATCAAAACACTTCTCCAACAGGGTAAAACGGAAACCATAATATTGGAATGAGATAGCTGATAAGGGATTCATACTTAAAATTTTTACAATACTCCAGCACCTCAACCAGAAAATGGTAAACAATTCAGCTGCAAAATGGGCACAGGATATGAACAGACACTTTACCAAAAACACTCAGATGGCAAACATAAACACATAAAGAAATGTTAAAAATCCCTAGCTTTCAGGGAGATACAAATAAAACTATGAGAAATCATTTCACTCCAGCAACAAAAGCAAAGTTGAACAGAGCAGCAATAACAAATGCTGGTGAGGCTGTGGAGAGATTGGAACCATTATTCACCACTGGTGGGAATGTAAAATGGTCAACCACTATGAAAGGTGGTCTGGCACTTTTTAAAAGAGTTGAAAATACCATTTGATCCAGCAGTTGCATTGCTACTGGTTATATACCCTAAAGAAACCAGAGCAGCCATCCAAACTGATGTATGCACACCCATGTTTATTGCATAGTAGCAAAGAGATGGAAACAACCCAATTGCCCATTAACAAAAGAATGGACAGAAAAACTATGGTAAACACAATGGAATACTATGAAGCACTGAAAAATAATGAACTTGTAAAACATTACACAACATGGATAACCCTGGAGAGAATGATGTTGAGTGAAATATCTCAGTCTGAAAAGGACAAATACTACATACCACCACTGTTAAAAAGCATGACTGAACATAGAGGGGTTGGGAGGAGAATAGGAAAAGGGTGCATAAATAATGAACATGGTATTGGAACAGATGAGGGAGAGAATTGTTTAAAAGGAATATATGATTAGTATTATATGCAAGACAACAGTATAGAATTAGAGGTACACTGCAAAGAGGACTGAGGGGGGAAGGGAGAAAATCTAACAATAAATAAATATTAAAAGAAAGTGAAGGGGAAACGGGAAGGAGGAAAATGTGGAACAATGCATGAATGAAAACCCAACTTCTCAGAAATTGTTAAAATCACAATTAAAATACAAAATTAAAAATAATAATAATAGGCATCCACAGGGTAGATACGTGTACATATGTGTGTCTACACATGTATTTAAACTTTATTTTCTTGTGTTATTATTTCTTACTCAGAAGAGATTATAGTATTCTGAAGACAAATGTGTACTTGTTTTTGGAAAAAAGAAAACAACGATCAAAGGAAGAGAATATTCTCAGTAAGAACTGTTAGGCATATTTTCTAAGGTGATTTGGTTTCTCTATATTTCAACAATATGTCTCTTTACTTAAAATAATCAATAAAATGTCAATCACATTTCTCTCTCTCACACACACACAGAAAGAGAGCCCTGCTTCATTTTCTTAAGAGCAGACTGAAATACTCACCACTCTTTCCAGAATAACATCATTGGTATCAACCAGTAAGTCAAACTTGTCCTCCAACTCAGTCACTTTACTTCGATCCTTAATGTTGCTGCGGCACCCATGGTACTGCATTACTTTACTCATGCTAAGACAGGAATGCCAGAGTTAGTGTGTGCACAGAGGTCCATCTGAACAAAAGCTTAGTTAATATGTGTGTATAGGTCCACCATCTGGAGGAAAGCGAATGCGTGGTACAAATAAAACCACAAATATTATTTGGATGCAACCATCACTATTATTTATTTTCAAATTTTTACAACATCCCAACCAGAAACTCTGTATGCAAAAAGCAATGATTTTCCATTTTCCCTCTTATACTCGCCCTTGGGAACCACTAACTACATTTCTCTCTACATTTCCTATTCTAGGTATTTCCAATAAGTGAGATGATACATGATCTTTCAGTTCCTGGTTTATTATACTAGTGGGTTGTTTTTAAGATTCATCCATATTGTGGCATGTATCAGAATTTCATTTCTTCTTGCTAATTTATATTCCATTACAGACATACATTTTGTTACACACAAACATCCCTCTGTTGATGGATATTTGGGTTACATCCAACATCCTCCCTTGGATACTGTGAATAATAATGCAATTAACATTGCTTTCCATGTATCCGAATCCCCGTTTTCAAGTTTTTAGGGAATATTCCTAGGAGCAGAATTATGTGTCATATGGCATTTCTTCCTTCCACCATTCTTATTCAATCAGTATGCTGAGAAAATAATCTCAGAAACTGAACTATACAAAAAAAGAACTCATGCACACCCATGTTTATTGCTGCTTTGTTCACAATAGCACAGAGTTGGAGACAACCCAAGTGCCCATCAACAAACGAATGGATAGAAAAGCTGTGGTATATTTACATAATGGAATACTACGCTGCACTGAAGAACAAGGAACTCATGCAATATTATTCAAAATGGGTGACCCTGGAGGATATTATGCTGAATGAAGTATCTCAGTCACAAAAGGACAAATACTGCATGTTGCCACTGTTGTAAAACAGGACTGACATCAGGGTTGGGGGGAGACTGAGAAACATGGGTTCAGTAATGCATACTGCATTGAAACAGATGAGGGAGAGAGCTGTTTAAAAGCTATATAAGCTATATATGTCTAGGTATTATTGTCATGACAGGAGTTCAGAATGAAGGCTGCACAATGAAGTGGACTTGGGAGGAGGGATTGTATAACAATGAAAGAATTTTTCTTTTACTTTTCAAGGAGAAGCGTGAATTGAGGAGGAGGGGCGGGCAGGGATAAAAATGCAACAATGAATGAATGGAAATCTAAATCTGTAAATGTTAATTAAAATTAGTAATAAAACATACAAAAAACTAATATTAAAAAAGAAAGTTATGCTTTGCAGATTGTACATTTAAAAAAAACCCCCAAAACCCTCAGCATCAAGATTGAGTAGAAATCCCCCAACAACCTGTAATATGAAGATAATGTAACCTTGCTAAAAGTGAACAGGCCCTGAAGCACTCAGTGAAGAAGAGCAAAGACTATAGCCATCAAAAATCCCTACAGTTTGAAAAGGCAATGTCAAGACAGAGAGGAGAGTGAAGTTATCAAGGATTTAATTTCATTTGGATCCAAAATCAACACCTGTGGAAGTCAAATTATATATAGGTAGATTTGTAAGCTAAACAGGTGTGGGAGATATACTGGAAAATACCTCTATATTCCAGGTATGTACACAGAACTGTAGATAGTTCCACATATGTATTTGTATGTGCTGCACGTGTACGCTTATGTGTAACAGAGGACACAGGGCACAGTTATGGAGACTTGTTATACATTTGTTACTTCATGCTGAATAAGAGAATTACAGGCTTCAGTTCTCTAGTCCCATATTAAGTCAAACAAAATCTGTTGTTGACAGGCACAAAAGTCAACATATTTTTAAACAGTCAAATCTCAAAATGTACCAAGTAACAATTTCCTAATCCTACTGCATTTCATCTCAAAATGTACCAAGTAACAATTTCCTAATCCTACTGCATTTCATTCTCATGTTTTACAGCACTTCGTATCACAGGAAATTAGGGTAATGAGAATAAAATTTCAGGAAAAAAATATCTTTATTTCCATTTCTTTTACTAACATGAGAAAACAATATATAGTTCTTACCACTGAAGTAACCTGTTTCCTTGTGTTTCACAAAATGCCTGGAAGCCAGGAAAACTTCGGTAAAAATCATACTCATCGCCAGACTGGGGTAGATCTCCGGAGGCCTTGTTAACGGCTATCACTGACCCCAGAGCAAACTGCAAAAAACCAGACAAGACAACATGCTTTATTTACACAATGATCTCCATTCACTCAAAAAATAATTTTTAAAAAGAATCTACTATATATAATGCATTGTACTAGATGTTAGGAGATGCAATACTCATTTCTCTATCAGGCAAATAATCATTTAGTGCTGACTTGACCGCAGATATTATCTGAGGCCCTGAGGAATCAATGCTAAACAAGAAAATAATTTTGAGCTCACACTTTTAGGAGAATAAGGGAGAGACAGGACAAAACCACAAATAATATGAATATTCAAATCTGCCTGTGTTTGAATCTTTGCTATTATAGACCCCCAAAATGGCAATAAGTTATGAGCTATTTAGGACTGTGCCTGGCATACAAGTGCTACTCTTCTTGTGCTACTACTCAAAATAAAATCCATCAGTTTTCTATAGGAATTTTGTACTTCACTGTGATAAGCATTTACAAACAACATAAGCAAACTCTGGATCCCATGGATGACTGATTTATAATGGTTACTGCTCACATCCAGACTGTTTATGGTTTAGTTAATTGTCCAGCAGTTCTTTAACTGCTGTGAGATAATGAGAAAATATCTGAAGTGGGTGTCATTTTTAAGTGACAGTTGGTCTTGTGAAGGCCAAATGACATCACTGTGAACTGTGTAAAAATGGGGTTTCTTTTCTGCCTTTTTTTTTTGAAGGAGTCACTGGAGAAGAGTCTGGAACATACCATGGGCTGCCAAGAAAACAAATAGGTCTGTCTTGGAGAGGGTGAAACGAAGTTTCTCCTTGGAGGCTAGGTTTTTGAAGCTCAGTCTCACATACTTTGGGGACATAGCTAGGAAGGCCTGGTCCTTGGAGAAGGACATCATGCTTGGAAGGGTGAAGGGACAGCCCAGGAGAGGAAGACACAGGAAGAGATGGATTGATACAATAACTGGGTCAATGTGCAGTGGGTGTGTCAGTTGAGACTGGGCAGGCTTCAGAGTTGTTGTAAAAGGGTCTCTATGAGTCACAGGCTACTTGACAGCACATAACACAACACAACAACATGTGAGAAAGGAGATGGGAAACTTGAGTCATTTAAGGGTACTAGGTAGAATGAGACCATGAACTCCACAATCAAGACTTAAACAGACTTGGAATCAAAGTGGTCTTAGAACCACTCAGAACCAAACAGATGGATCAATTACAGCACTTTCTACAGCATTCAAGGGAGCACTGGTGTCCCAGTGGTAAGAAGCTGTGCTGTAATCCTAAAGAAAAGCAGTTTGAATCCATCAGCTGATCTGTGCGGTAAGGATAGGCAATCTCCTCCTTTGTGATTATTTACTGCCTCTGAAAACTTGCTGGAGGGTCAGCTATAAGTTGGTTCCAACTCCAAGCACACAACAGCATTCAAGGAGTCCTGGTGGCCTACTGAGACACATGTTGGGCTGCTAACGGAAAGGTTACTGGTTTGAGCCCACCAGTTGTTCTGAGGTAGAGAGACAGACTGTCTTGCCCTATATAAAGACAAACAGCATCAGAATTCTGATGGAGGGTCCCATGAGTCAGATTGGAGTCCCTGGGAATGAAGTATCAGTATTCAATGGAGGGTGGTGGTTCAGTAAGAAGAGCCTCGTGTTTCATGTTGGAAGACCGGGGTTTGAATCCTGGCCAGTGCACTTCAGGAGCAGCCATTACCTGTTGGCAGAGGCTTGCGTGTTGCTAGGGTGTTTTAGTGGAGATTCCAGACTAACAAGGTAAAGATCTGGAGAGATCTTATTTCCAAACATTGGCCCGTGCAAACCCTATGGATCACAGGTCTGACTGACACAACTGGCATGGGACCAGGCAGCCGTTTCTTTGTTGTGTGGTGTTACCAACTCACAATAGAGTTCACTAGGTGGAATTCTTTTGGAGGTCGGATTTTTAGCATTATCTTACAAATAATTTTAATTCTGTGGCCAGATAAGAGCGATGTTTGAAGGGTTTAAACGTCGTTTCACATTTGTTGGCATTACACAAATATAATAAACGAACCTCGTGTTTCCTTGAGGAACTGGCGAGAGGTTTAATAAAATGCACTACAGCACTTCACAGGGAGACTTGGGTGCTGTGTCAAGGGGCATTTAACCGAGGGCTTGGCAATCGTGAAGACCTGGACCTCAGGAAGGGGAGGGGACACCCAGAATGCAGGCGGGGAGCGCGCTGGGCAGACGTGGGATGGAGAAAGCACCAGGTGGGGCGCCCGGGAGAGCTCGGGCACGGATGGGGAGATCAGGTCTAGGAATGTCAGGCTGACGGGGATGCCTCTGCACAGGCGGTGACTACACGGGTCCAGACAGGAAAACAAGGCATCTGGGAAGCAGCACCTGCTTCCAATTTCGGGTTCGGGGTCCCAGCAGAGAACCTGCCAGCGCGGCCAGCAGTTCCGCGCTCCCCGCTCTCCCTGGGCTCAGCAGCGGCACGCGCGGCCGGATCTGGCGCCGAGAGGATCAGATCTGCTTCCGGCAGGCCGCAGGCCACTTTAGGCACCCCGAAGAACCCGCGGACTCACCTTCACGAAGCTGTCTGCGTCCGGGAAGCCGGGCAGCACCATCTCTCCGTCAGTGTCGGCCGCACTCGTTACCAATGAGGCATTAGGATCCGGGGGACTGGGAGGCGCCATTTTCGGCCTGCGCAGCTCTTCTCGCGAGATTGTCCTTGGGCGACGCGACGGGTGCAGAAGACGCATGTGCAAAGGCGGTCGTCGCTTGCTGGAGCTGTGGGCTTGGGCTTTTGTTAGCTGTTAATCCTCACTTCCCCAATCAGGGGCTTTAAACTTCTTTAGCTTCATAAAACGTCATCCTAACAATGCAGTGTGCTCCAGGGTAGTGAGACTTGTTCTCACACATTTGGGGCATGTTGTCAGAAGAGGCCAATCCTTAGGCAAAGACATCATACTTGGAAATTAGAGAAGGTTAGGGAAAAAGAGAAGTCCCATCAATGAGATGCATTGACACAATGACTGTAATAATGGGTTAGAGTATGGTAGACATCGGGACGATGGCACAGCACAGGCCACGGTTCTGATCTGTTGTGTTGCTGTCATACTGGTAACAATAGCATTAACCCAGTGGTTTAGAGTGGAAAGGAAGGACTCAGTCATCGGCATATTTAAGCCAACTTTCCCAATCTCTGGAATGGTTCCCCTCTCTCACTTAAGATACTGGCTTGTGCAATTATCCTCTAATTGACATCTTACCTAACTCATTGCAAGCAGTTCATTCCTGACGACTTACACATATACTGAACTGTCTCCAAAAGAACACTTGAACTCAGTTTCCCTCCGGCAACCCACGTTTCTCTTTTCCTGTATAGGAAAAATTAGGAGGAGGCTTCTGTATGGCATTTCTAGTCCCCATTGCTCTCCTGAATAACATTCAGGACATTCACCATATACTGGAACCACTCATGCTGACAAATAATTTAGTGGAAACTCAATAAACACCAGATCTGTGGAAAGATGCAACGGAGAAGCTCAATATAAGCAGTTAAAACCAGGTCAGGAGTTGACTGTGGAACTGACCATCAACTACTCATGTTGTTCTTATGTGTCATTGAGTCACCTACGACTCAGAGCAACTCTATGAACAATAGCTTTGGACTTTGCCCTGAGCCACCTCACCATCTCTGACACACCTGACCCCACTGCCACAGTCACTATCTCAGTCCATCTCATGCAGAGTCTTCTCCTGTGTAGACCCTCTACCCTTCCAAGCATAATGTTCTTCTCCAAGGACTGGTCTCTTGTGGCATATGCCCAGGATATATAAGACAAGCTTCAAAATCCTTGAATCCAAGGAGAAACCTGATTTTACCCTCTCTAGGATAGATCCATTTGTTCTCTTGGCAGTCCATAGTATATTCAATACTAATTCTCCAGCACCACAGCTCAAAGGTATCAATTCTGTCATCCTTATTCACTGTCCATCCGGCTTTCAGATACATAGCAAGTGATTACGAAGACTGGATCAGGCACACCTTAGTCTCTAGATGACGTTGTTGCTCTTTAGCACTCTGGAGCTGTGTCTGACAAATTTCCGAATGCAACTCTTTTGGTTTGCTGACTGCTGGTGCCAAGGGAGTTGATTGTGGATCTGAGAAAGAGGAAATTGTTAACAATTTCAATCTTTTCTCCATCTTTCATGACGCTGCCTAGGTTTTTGCTTTCTTGATATTGAGTTACAGTGCATACTGAAGGTTGCTATTAAAATAAATGACTGGAAAAGAAACCTCTCAGGAAGTTGTATGTGATCAAGGACCAACAGTAATGAAGGTAGACGTCTAGGCTGCACTAAAGGTATTGAGGGGGGAAAAAAAGACTCCAGTATTGCCTGGAATACCAATTGAAGTGTTTGGGAAACAGGTTCAAGCCTAACATGTTCACCAGTCTCTGCTAACAAATATAGGAGACAGCTACCAGACCAACTGAGTGAAAGATCTGTATTTCTTTGCATTTTTTAAAAAAAGTGATCCAACAGAATGTGGAAATTATTAAACAATATCATACGACATGCAAGTAAGGTCTTGCTGAATATTATATTAAAAATGAATGGAACAGTACATAGACAGATAACTGCCAGAAATTCAAGCTGGAGACAGAGCATGAGTGATAACATTGCTGAAGTAGGATGAATCTTGGCTGAAACCAGAGAATATCAGAAAGATATTTGTGTTGAAGTAGAATGTGGTATTAAGAGTAAAGGAAGGCTCATCAATAACCTTCATTATATAGATGGTACCACCTCACTTGCTGAAAGTAAGAACTTGAAGCACTTGCCACAGAAGGTTAAACATTGCAGCCTTCACACTGGATTGCGTCACAACATCAAGGAACCAAAAATTCTTGCCATTGGATGTGAGGCAACATCATGATAGATGGAGAAAAGGTTGAGACTGTTAATGCCTATTTTACTTGGGACTGCAATCAATATACTTGGTACCAGCAGTCAGAAGATCAGGAGACCTATTGCACTGGGAAAGTCTATAGTCAGGTACCTGTGCAAATTACTGAGGAGCAAGGATGTCAGCTTGAGGACTAAAGTGTACCTGATTCAGGTCATGGTCTTTTAAGTCACTTGCTATGTATCTGAGAGTTGGATAATGACTAAGGATGACAGAAGAATTGATGCCTTTGAGCTGTAGTGCTGGAGAAAAGTGCTGAGTATCCCACAGACAAAAGAATCAACAGGTATGTCTTGGAGATGGGTGCAGCTGGAGTGCTCCTTAGAGGCAAAGATGATGAAATTAGTCTCTCATACTTTGGGCATGTTACTAGGAGAAACTGTTCCTTGGAGAGTTAAATCATGCTTGGAAAGGTGGAGGAATGGTGAAGGAGAGGAAAACTCTCAAGTAGATGGGTTGATACAATGACTGCAACTATGGGCACAAGCGTGTCAAGAGATTGTGAGGATGACATGCAGCAAGACAGGGTTCAGGTCTGTTGTTCTTCACAGGGTTGCTACGAGTCATACTCAACTTTTTGGGACATAACAACACAACAATCATGTATATGAAAGCTAGACAATGAGTAAAGACTACAGAAGAAGTCTCAATGCCTTTCAGTTGTGGTGTTGGCCAAGAGTATTCTGTTAAAAGAGCAAATCTGTCTTGAAGAGATGACAACTAGAGAGCTATTTAGAGGCAAAACTTTGTTTCACATACTTTGGGCATATTTTCAGGAGGAATTCTTTGGAGAGAAGAGAGATTATTCTGAGAAAGGTACAGGGTCATAGAGAAAGGAAGACCCTTGAGAGATGGGCTGACCAAGTGACTTCCACAGTGGGCTTGAGCATGTCAGAAATCATGAGGATGTGCAGGATAGGGTAAGGCTAAGATCTGTTCATAGGGTTGCTATGCTGTTGTGATATGCCATTGAGTCTACCACGACTCACAGCAATCCTATGAACAATGGCTTGAGCCTTGCCCTATTCTGAGCCAACCGCACCATCTCTGACATACCTGACCCCACAACCATAGTCACCATGTCAATCCATCTCATCTGGGATTTTCCTCTCCTGTGTCTTCTCTCAACCCTTCCAAGCATGATGTCCTTCTCCAAGGACTGGTCCCTCCTGGCCATGTGCCCAAAGTATGTGAGACAGAGCTTCAAAATCCTAGCCTTCAAGGAGAAACTTGGTTTCACCTTCTCCAGACAGACCTGTTAGTTCTCTGGGTAGTCCATGGTATGCTCAATACTCTTCTCCAGCATCGCAACTCAAAGCCATCAATTCTTCTTCTGTCTTTAGTCATTGTCTAGTTCTTTGATGCATAACAAGAAGTTGTGAAGACCATGGCCTGGATCAGGTGCACCTTAGTCTCTAGACTGACATCATTGCTCTTTAGTATTCTGGAGAAATCTCTGACAGGACATTTTCCCAATGCAACTCATCTTTTGATTTCCTGACTGTTGTTTTCTATACACTGAGTTGTAGTCAACTCAATGGTACCTAATAACAATAATAAACATCTTTTAAATGGCTAGCAGATGAGACACTGTTAAGGAGTGAAGTGCTCAGGGAATGGTCTCCAGGAGACTCATTGGGCTGTACTGTTTCCATTGTTGAGCACTTGTTTTGTATGGTTTAATCTAGTACCATATATCAGTTGTATGTTGTTGTTGTTGTTATGTGCCGTCGAGTCGCCTGCGACTCATAGCGACCCTATGTACAACAGCCCTAAACTCCGCTCTGTCC